CAAAAAAGGACGGTATTCCGTCTGAAAGTTGTGGGGGCACCACCCCCACTGGCGGATCCAGGGGGGCCACCGGGGCCATGGCCCCCCAAAAGCCTGAAAGAGGGGGCCAACATATCTTTTGGCCCCCCAAAACGCTTGAAGAAAAATTAATGTGAGAAGGTTGCGTAGTAGATACCTACTAGAATCCGCAGCGTGATTCAATAGCTTAGAGAAAGTCAGGGGCGCGGAAACTACTTTCAGACTGGGGGAGCACACCATAATAGAGATCAACCTATAGGGTCCCCCCAAATCTAGTTTTCTCACCGGTTTTAGGCCACTTATTTTTCATCCCTTGGCTTTTTCAACAAAAAAAGAAAACAGTTGCAAAAAAGGACGGTATTCCGTCTGAAAGTTGTGGGGGCACCGCCCCCACTGGCGGATCTGCAGGGGGGCCACCGGGGCCATGGCCCCCCAAAAGCCTGAACGAGGGGGCCAACATATCTTTTGGCCCCCAAAACGCTTGAAGAAAAATTAATGTGAGAAGGTTGCGTAGTAGATACTTGCTAGATCAGCAGGGTGATTCAACAGCGTAGAGAAACTCAGGGGCGCGGGAACTACTTTTAGAGGGGGGGGGCACACCATAGAGATCAACCTAGAATCCCCCAAATATAGTTTTTTCATCGGTTTTAGGCCACTTATTTTAAATCTCTTGGCTTTTTCAACAAAAAAAGAAAACATTTGCAAAAAAAGAGCGGTATTCCGTCTGAAAGTTGTGGGGGGCACCGCCCCCACGGCCCCAGGGTTGGGGGGGGGCATGCTGCCACCACTGCCCCCTCCCCCAGGTTCCCGCGCCTATGGAGAAACTACCGGGTTTACTAGCTTCCTTCATAAAGTGTCGTCATGTCTTATCGTCACCCGAGAAGGTCTTATTGCATAAATATCGATTGAGCTGACAAGTTACCAAACTTGCTGTGGCAGCCTGACCTGACATGACCCGGCAATTTTTCATTCACGGAATATGCGCAATAAATTTTTTAGGAACACTCACTGAGTTTTCGTTGAAAAAAAAACTTGTTTTGTTTCGTAATTGTACAAGAAGCATATGAGGGACCTTTTTGTCCCTTCATGCGAAACGGTATAAGACTTATTTCGGTCACAGCTCAGGCCAATCTCTAAGGGGTCAGTCGGGTCACTTATTTCTTAAAAGGGTCCTTACGGCATCCAAGGACCAATTCCGGCTTTTGAGTTGTGGGCCGGCCATTTCGGCCGCCCTCGTCGGAGCCGGGGTCCGCGGATGGTGTTGGCGTCACAGTCGGTAGAGGAGAAGTGAGAGCGTGTATTTCCGAAGAACATGGTTTTATGGTGGGTGTCGGGACGCAAGCACGTGACCGGACGGGCAGCCGGCCAGCGAGCCGGCGGTCCCGTGTCGCTATGCGCCCCAGACACCCAGACAGATACAAAAAATAGGGACAGATATTTGGGGCCTCCATCGGGAGTGGGAGGCCATGATTTCCTTCTCCACAGAGTGCACCACATCAGCATTTGATGCTACGACAGATGTCGAAATCTGAATATATGTTACAGGCCGTATGAAAATTCGGTCCGTTTGCAAACGGCCTGGCCCAGTCAGACCATATGAAACAGCCTGAAAACACCGGCCGTTTGCAAACCATGACCTGAAATATCAGACCGTTTGAAAACGGCCTAGTTAGTTTCGGCCTAGCGGATCCAGGGGGCCACGGGGTCATGCCCCCCAAGCCTGGAAGAGGGGCAACATATATTTTGGTCCCCAAAAACACTTAAGAAAAATGAATGTGAGAAGGTAGCGTAGTAGGTAGAGAGAAAATACCGTATCATTAAAAATCTGTGAGCTTGGCTTGATAAAAGTGTTGGTCTTGTCTTCACCCAAGAAGTGCTTATTGCATACTTTAACTCTCGATCGACGTGTGAAGTTATCGTGTAAGTTATCATGAAGCCGATCGCGACGAAACTTTAGTACCCTCATGTTGACAAAGTCTGAAAATTTCATGACCCTGACCCAAGTGAACTTTGACTTGTGGCCTATATCTCGAGACTATCCGTGCGTTCGGAGAGCATGGAATATTTCACCGTCCCCGGGAATATTCCCCGTGCCGCGTTCGGAGGCGTATCTCTCTGAACGGCCAATCTCCGGGAATATTCCGCGCGCATGGAATATTCAACGGATTCCACGTGGAATGTGCCTCTCCGAACGCATCATATGTTTGGCCATGTTGGAGGCCATGTTTGGCCGGAATCGCGATTCGGCGTATGTCGGCTCACATTATCCGCGCTTTTACAGGATATGATGTTGCTCCCATGCATTAGGGTGGATGCCAATGTCACCTTACGGTCAAGTCAGGTCATTGACCTTTGATGACCTCGGTGCACTTTTCCGAGTTTAGCATGTTTCTAGGATAGTTTCGTTTAGCCGATTTTGAATTTAGCATTTTGCAACCATTTGAATATTTACGAAGTAGTTTTGATGCCTTCGTATCATGTAACGTAGCTGCCAGTGGTAGTGGACACCTGCTATACGGACGCCCATAAGTACCCCTACTGGTTGACCTGACCTGACCTGCCCCGACATGGCCTAAACGCATGAAGACATAATCTATGATCCAAACTATCATGAAATTTGTGATCAGCACCAAAACAAATCTATTACAGCCTTACTTTAGGAGGTTCTGACAGGTCCTGATTTTCCCGTCTTTTGGGTCTGTGACCTGACCTGGGCGGTGTTTCACGGCACGCTGCCAGCCGCTGCCAGCGCTGATGGCACTTTTGGTTTCAATGGAGACATCAACAAGCCTATACTATACCCACAACACCACCGAAGGTTGACCTTAGCTCGCGGAATGCGCTGGCAGCGGCTGTCGGCACGACCGTGAAACACCGCCCTGGAAGGTCAACCAATGACCAAGGACCTTAAAATCGGGTATCATCGGCTTCGTCTCGTCACTCACGGGCAACACACCTGTTTTTTCCGCGAGCTCTAGCTTAATCAGGGGTCGAACGGCAGGGGGTCCAACCGACACCTCCCAGCCCGCGAAAGCTGCGCCAAGCACCGACCCGGAGCGGGCTAACTGGTCGACAAAAGCAATTTGAAGTGTTTTCAAAGTAATATTTAGGCTCGGGTTGGGTGGGCTACCATTTCTATATTTTTTTTTATTTTTAGTTTAAAAAATTATCGTTTCAGGGCTGTGACGAAAAAATAAGTGGCCTAAATCCGATGAGAAAACAGGATTTGGGGGTACCCTAGGTTTGGTTACTTGCAGGAGTTGGCCCCCCCCAAAACGCAAGTCTGGATCCGCCAGTGTCTGTATCCGCCTATGATTTTTGAAAATGCATATTTTAGGATCCATGTGAATTCCTGGTTCATTCTCTATCGATCGGCAAAAGATGCGTTAAGATTGGTTCAGAAACCTGGCCGTGATAAACAGTCTAAAATGTATCTGCAATTTGCCCTCTACTATTGACATTTTTTAATTTTTATTTTTTAGAAATGTAGATCACGTTGAGCGAAATCGAATGCCGTTTGAATTTTGAAAATCGACCCGTTAGATCTCGAGATATCAAGGGGGGTCGTAAACAGCCCCCCCCCCCCCTGCCACTAATAGGGGTAGCCAGGAGCCTGCCACTAATAGGATTAACCGATGAACACTATTAAACGAAAGTGGTTAGAATAAGATTTGTAAGATAAATGCTTCCGCTTTTTACAGAACGCATAGAATGGCCATGGACCAAATTCGATGTTCCAACGACTGTAGGGCAAGGCGTCACTGAAATATACGGGAAGCTTTTCTTCTGTAGGATAGAGTCGTGTGCTCCCCTTCTAAGTGTATTGCAAATCGCCTCGCCATTCACTTCTGTGCAGCTACGTAGGCCGTTATAATTGCATGCTAGCCGACCGCATTTCGTTTTAGAGGTGAGCAATGAAAGGCCCCTGGGAAGTTCCATAGATTCTAGATACCATGTGGAAGTGAATGTTTTGCGTTGAGGAAAACTTAGTCAGCACTAAGCCTGCAACGCATTGTCTGGCACAAATGCGTGTTCATGAGTCACTGGTAATTACGAAGTTATTTGTCATGTGTTTTTAAATGTCGAGCCGATCGAACTTAGTGGGTCAGAAACATTAATAAATCAATAAAAATAATTTGCCAGCTCAGTTTGAAAACATCTGCTACCTCCATAAGGCTTAAAAAACTTATACATGCAACCTATATAGCAGAACTAGTGAAAGTTGAGGAAAACACTGAAAACGATGCATATCGCATATACACCTGTCACCCTGCAAGATACAAGCTAAAGTTTTAGGGGGCTGTCATGGAAAAACTTTGTAACCTGTCAAGCGAAAGCTGCATTTTTTTTAAAGAGGCGTATATCAAACTGAAAATAAACACCGTTTTGACCGTTTTACGTTTAAGGCGAGATTCAGAGTCCCATGTATTAAAAAAAAAAACTTTAAGCGGAGCAACACACAAGTGCTCAAACCAAGCTTCAAGTCAAGGTGACGTTTCGGGAGATAAAAAGAAAATGCAAAACCTTCATTGTATATGAAATGCCAAGAAAAGACAATGTTCCTGATCGTATAATTTTGTCAGAAGTATAATTAGTAGCAATATCACATTGACTTATCTTTTGTAAAAAAAAACATTCTCAGACTTTGGACCCGAAAGATAAGATTTTTTTCGCAGTGCTTAATTGGTCCCAATTCGAAGACACGTAAACTAAGCTCAGCGAATGTGATGAAAAATAAATTGCTGTAGCCGGGAAATAGGTAAGATGCGATCTCGCCAATGTCAGGCCCCTCACGGTAAGAAGAAAACAACTATTTGAAAGGCTTAATCATATATTTAGAAGAAAAAAATCTCGGTATATAGTTTTTCTGGTGAAACTACGCATAGCTTGCAAAGCAATCGGCTAACAATTGAAAAAGAGCGCTTGAACTTTTTAAAATAACTTATCCTTTCATAAAATTCACACATTTATTTTTTTATCTGTTTTGATTACAACAATACGCAAGGGATGGCCTGTCCTGTCTTAATCACTTGCTTGCAAAATGCAAAGGGGTATCAGCCCTCCCCAAGATCAAACAGTGAGTTTACGGTCATCTATGACGTCTTAACGTCTGAAGTTCTGAACAGTGTCCTGCTCTCCAAATCGCTCTTCCAAGAATGTTCGAGATTAACTGGGACTGAAACGTAGGTACATGGCTACCAGTTATTATGTAAGAGGTATTACTGACGTCAATAATCAAACTCCTTCACGATCGCAAGCATCCGTAAAGGTGGCAGAGTACTTCCAGCTTCAATGATTTAAAGCTGATAGACGGGGTTATGTGAACGTGCCAAACCGGCGTTACGCAATCCAGACCACATTATTTTCTTTAGATGACATTACAGAGGACATGCCTTACGTCATAGTTACATATTTAGCTTCACATCTCATGAGAGGAAGCAAGAGGAAATTTCCAAGGGATTACCAACAAATGCGCAGGCTGACTCTTAGCGCACTACATAAATCGATGCGCTCACAACTGGCATGCAGGGTGGAGAATTAGGGGTGTTGAGGGTGCTCGAGCACTCCCTCATTGTTAAAAGCACCTCCCTGAACTTGGGAAGTTCACCTGAAGTAATGATTCCAATTTCGGTGGATACCTTTCGCTAAAAACGAAACACAGTTGAGTAGCGCATGCATGCGAGTACAGTACTACACAGAAACTTTACGGCACCGTTCGGATCGGACGCCGCTGAAAAGCTCATCTGACATTTTCACAACGCTCCACCTATTCTATCAGGCACTTACATAGAGCACAGCGAACCCACCACATTGAAAAGCGGCGCAAGCACCTACGGCACGAGGCGCGGGCGCTCCTAACACTCACCAAGACCAGCTTCATGGTGCGCTTTCCTGTGTCCCACTGCACGCGCGGGGCTGCCGCGTCCCCTTTATAACCTCGCGTCGTCGCCGCGTGCAGGCTGCCGGCCATGGTACGACGGCACTCGGCCCCTAACATGGACGAGGAACGGCTGAAATCCGGGTAATGACCAGCCCCGTCACGTAAGACCGCGGCATTGTTTCGACAGTTTTTCGAGCGAGTTTTTTCCTACCGGCGCGGCGATGTGCAGTTTGTTCAGCGGTGTCGCCTGCTGGAGAACCCGTGTGGTGTGGCGAGGCCGTTCGCCCGAAAACTCCGCGGCGTGTTTTGCGTGCCGACTCGGGCGGGAGTGCCGTGCCGGACACACTGGCGTCGTGTCGGCCCGCTACCCGGGAGCGACGCGAGGACTAGTCACCGGGAGCTCTGTACAGATCACACGCAATTGTCCCCGCCTCCTTACGCGTCCGATAGTCCGAGCGTGCCTTACTGGCTACTTAGATAGTCACGGTGAAAGGTGTTCGCTGCCTTTTTCCTTGGGTGTTGCGGAAATCCGAATTTTCGGCTATAGGAAAGTATTAGGCACATGTTCATCGGTATCAATAATAATATTCCCGTGTGTAATTATCCTTGAACATGATTTTCGTATGTGGGAAGCCTGCCCAAAACTGTAAAGTTGCAGTTGCACGCTACAAATTTGCACGAGTTGAAAGACATGCCATTGCCGTTGGAAGGTAAACAGCCACCCCTAGGTCTTATTATTGCAGTGCATACCGAATCGAATGGTTTAGTTTGGACCATCACGCTTTTTACTCATTAACGCCAGTTTGAATTTCTATACCTAGCGTAATTTTAAAATTAGATAAGGCGTTGCACTTGGAGAAACCCGGTATGCATTACAATCCATTGGAATCATCTTATTTATCAGACATTAGAAAAAATTGCCAATAAATTTTAGTTAACAGATAGATCTGTCACTCATTTATCTGATCGTTGTCTTCAAATTAAATGAGCAGAAAAGGTGTGGGTTTCACCAGCATAGTATGAAAATGTTTTCGTAAGCAGCGTCCACTATCCCTTCGCTATCTATTAGGTATGCTTCATCCTTCATTGTGCTGTCCCTGGGCCCGGCCCTGCATTTACTGTTACTGCACTAAGGATATCACACTAGAGAGAAAAATCAAATTGACAATGGCTCTCTTTTCGCTATTGACGCTGTATAAGAGAACAGGAAGGCACAGGTACACATTAAAACTGCAAAAAAAATCATAAGGCATTAAAATGTTCTTAAAGGGAGATAATGACCTTTTTCCACAAAATCTGAGTTAGGACCATTTTCTGACAAAACACAACAAGTTATAATGTAAATTAAAACCATTTTGCTCAATTCGGTACCTTGCCGCAAATATCTCAACTTGAAGTCACGTTAGCGGGGAGCGCTGAAAATGACCGTTGAATAAGTACTTACATCACTTTTTGGTACTTGCATGTAATTTTGTAAAATGAGCGTATTCCTTACATTTGATCTTCATCACATCTAGTTAGTTAATGGTCGTCTATAGTGCCTTCAAAAGATATTCATGGTTTGGGGGTGGTTTATGTCTAAATTTACGCAACTATTTTTCCTGTTCATCATCTGACGCCATATGCTGCTATTTTAGTAGCAACGACTCAATTTTGAATCGGTCCCGCCGACTGCACAATAAAAGAAGATAGATACAACACTTTTGCGGCATCACTGAAAAAACTTATGCAGTACTGTTATCAAAATTCTCATAACACCGTTCGACAAACCTGAAGTCCTTTTGAAATAAATATGCTTGTATTTTTCGCTTCAGGCTCTGACGCCAAAATAATGAATTTCGTAGTCGCAATCGCAAGATTTGGCTGCGTATCTGGCGCATGCCGTTCATTTGTGGCGCAAACTAATACTTGGAAGCAAAGAAGAGTAGGCACTATGTACCCCCGAATTAGAATCTAATTAATTCTAAACCGAATTAACTCTAATTCAAGTTAGAATCTTTACAACCAAGCAACGACAAGGCGATAACATAAACAAAAACCCAAGCGTCGCTGTTTGAAACAAAAGCGCCATATACTGCGACTTTTTTATAGAGAAGGACAACGCATTTCGGTGGGTGTTACAAGTACTGCAAGTACTGCTTCTTTTTTGCAAAAATAAAAACTTTTTTCACATACGAAAATGTGCTAGGAAATTTTCATATTTTATAGAAACTACAGTAGAAATAGTATAGATGTCGAGTAAATTTTATTTAAGAAAAAAGAAAGCTCATTATCTCCCTTTAAGTGACGAAGGGCGGTTGGTAGCGCAATCACTATGTCCATCTATGTATACAATTCTATATTTACCTACTTGAAGACAATAGCCGTTTTCACGACGGGCTATCCGGCGAATGCACCTAATTTGACCAAAACTGCACCTAATCTCTTTTACAGCTGATATATCTTCATTTTATGAATTTATTTCAGTGTTTTACTCGATGATGCCCTCTGATAATATGACAAAGTAGGCATATAAGCAATTAGTGCAAACCTAGCTGATAGCTACTAAGAGACACACTGAACCTAATTTGACCAAATCCGCACCTAATCTGCACCAGATGTGCACCAAATGTGTACCAGATGGCCGTCGTGAAAACGGTTAATGTGTAACGAAATTCACTCCTATGGTCCTCGCTCCTCCCCTGTGACGCCTGTTCTGGCCCACTTCTGATCGGTGCTATGATATGACGTACATCTGTATGTATGATGCATGTGTGTGACGTTTGGATGTAGCGGCCGACGCCGACGCCGAGCAGGAGGGATTCGAAAGCCAGCCGCCGTAGTGGCCGGACGTACTGTTATTCAAAGTCTCGGCCGATTGTCTATCACTCTTGGATTCTATTGGTAAACTTACAATACATACTTGAAGAAAGGAAAACCGTGTTGGTTGTACGGCACGAGCAAGAGGTCCTAAAACAGACTATCACAGAAGAAGAAATTGTTTATTTACTATTATATTTGTTACATAATGTAATGAGCAAATACGCTGCTTAATCGAAATGACCGTTTATTAGGCCGCTCAATCAAGCCTGGCACGTAACGCATGATATCACTATAGACTACGCTATGCCTATTGCCGAATACCTACTCAACTGCTGTTGCGATAACTATACCAACGTCTAACAATGAAGGCCGTATATAGGCCTACAATGATGTTGCCTCTTGTGTTCAATTAACCCGCGCCCTGATGGGGTCTGCCGAGCAACGCGGTCTGATGGGGGGGGGGGGCATTTTGCCCCCCCCTAAGATCTCGAGAACCAAGCAACATAGCGACAAGCGGTAAATGGCGTTGGATAGCCCCAACGGGGAACTACCTTGTGACCCAATTTCATTGACCTCAGTCAAACCGATGACGTCACAGATCAGGTCAAAGGTCGAATTTTCACCGTTTACAGGCATTTCAAGAAATGCGTTGTAAAATCGAGTAAAATGCATTTCATTGAAAATCATCGATGGGGAAATGTTCTTCAAATACATATTTTGCTATTTGAGGCCACTGATACCAGGTCAGGTCACAGAGGTCAGGTCACTGGGGGGTCACAATATGAAAGTGTCGTGTGATACATGTTTTATGGTCCATTTTACATGACAAATGCGATTATGTGGGTCAGGCAGACTTTTGGGCCAGCTTAGGTCACGTTTTGGCCAAGGTCAGGTCAAGGTCAGGTCAAGGTCAGGTCAAATTAGGTCAAATTTCAAAGTTGATATTTTTGCATAACATGGGTACCGATTCGATGCAGCTCGTCACGGGGAGTTCAATGGTGGTCTTTGTTTTGCGCTACGAGGTCTAGAATTGCTAAAAATTGAGTTCAAAAATTTGACGTCATCAATTCTTAACAGTTTTTTTCGCTATAACTTGGCCAAAAAAAGAGGTATTGATCTAAAATTTGGTATGTATATCGAAGAGCGCAGGGACTATCACACATACAGGGTGTCTCACAAAAAGTGTACATATTTGTTTTGTAAATAGCTCCGTAAGTTAAAAACATACGTAAAAAACACAAATATCGCTGGAAAGCACAAAGCTTGCAAATTTATTCGCATATCATTTGCACGTCTTTATATTCACATACCGAATCAGTTTCCCATACTCTAGCTATGCGCTCATTTTTTAGATGCTCAAATGACAGCCTTTGTGCTCAGCGCACGTGGTGGCGCGCCTCATGGTCTCCTGAGCTACACGGGCGCATGTCTCCATGGTTATCCCGCGTATGGCTCCTCTGATGGCCTTTTTTAGCTCGTCTAGCGTGTGCGGCGCCTTCACGTACACGACATCCTTCAGATACCCCCATAGATAGAAATCCATGGGGGTGAGGTCGGATGAGTTGGGTGGCCAGCTGTGGGGGGCCCGCCTGGAGATCAGCCGGCTTCCCAGGCGCTCGGTCAGCCAGGCCAGCGTGGCTCTTGACGTGTGCGCTGGAGCGCCGTCCTGCCGGAACCATTGCAGGCAAATGGTGTCCGCGCACTTGCTGTTGAGAGACCGCCAAAAGCGCTTCAACACTGCCAGATAACGGTCTGAAGTCACCGTCACTGGTTCTCCGTCACCGTCTTCAAAGAAGATCGGTCCGATTATGCCCTGGACGCTAAGCGCGCACCAGACCGTCACTTTTGGAGAATGTAATGGGACTTCCAAAGTCTTCTCTGGCGGGTGTTTGCCCCAGTGTCTGTGGTTTTGACGATTAGGTAAGCCGTGAAGGTAAAAGTGTGCCTCGTCGGACCACCAAATGTTGCCGATGAAACCGGGGCAAGACGAGCACTTTCCTAAAAACCAACGGCAAAACTCCAACCGTTGTAGGCAATCAGACTTGGAAAGCTCTTGAGATGTTGATAACCTGTATGCCTTAAGCTTCAGGTCCTTCCTAAGAATCCGATGCGTGGAACAGCGGCTGAGTCCAACTTGTTGCGCAAGGTGCCGCACGGACACTCCAGGCTTTTCCTCAACTCGCCGAATGACTTGTCCGATTTTCAAAGGTGTTCGGGCAGTTATCTTGCTGCCGCTGTTTCCAGTGTTTTGATTTCCGACTGTTCCGTGAACCAAGAAATGTTCAGTAAGCCGTTTTATTGTGTTTGCCGGTGGTTTCTCTCTTATTGTAGGGAAATGAGCCCTAAATTTCCCCTGAGTCAATACCAGGGAACCGGTTTGAAGGTAAAATTTCACGATATTTTCCTTTCCTCTTCACTTAACTGTTTCATGACTCTCACTAACAAATTGTATGTCAAATAAATTTGCACAAGCTAAGCTTCAATTTAAGCCTGAATTTGACGTGAGCGCGTGCTTATATGCTGAAATATATTCATTTTAAATGTGTACACTTTTTGTGAGACACCCTGTATTCCGTTTTTTTTCGAAATTCGAAAAAAAAATTGGAAATTTTTTGAGTTTTTCTAAAAAAAATGATTTTTTTTGGTTTTTGGGGTCAAAATCCCAAAATTTCGAAAATCCGAGATAGCAGTACTGTAGCGCCGTCTTTTGTCTACACAACCACATAAAGAACTTTAAAATTGCTTGTTAACGTTATAATTGGTGAGCGTTTCAAGATGTCATGTTTTTGCTCATTTTTACTCGAACATGACCTCAGTTTGACCTCAATAACTCCTGACCTGAGGTGACCTGTGACTTGAAATTTTGTGTGAAGGTGTCAAATTGATGCCCGGTAAGGTACCCAAAATTTGGCGGCGCTGCGCGCCGCCGTTTTCTCGCTATTTAAGAAAAACCACAGGAACCCCCCCTAAGGTTTTTCGCGAATAACTCGCGTAAAAAGCGGCCGATCGCAACGACACTTTCAGTACCCTCGCATTGATCAATTTTACACCTACCCTGAAAATTTCATGACCCTGACCCCAGTGACCTTTGACCTGTGACCTCTTTTCTGTGACCATGTTTGGCCGAAATCGCGGTTCGGCGCATGTCGGCTCGCATTAGCCGCGCGTTTGCAAGCTTTTCGTGGTTTCAAACGTTCAAACATGTGATTTGATGTTGCTCCCATGCATTAGGGTGGGTGTCAAGGTCACCTGAGGGTCAGGTCAGGTCATTGACCTTTGGTGACCTTGGGTGACCTCGGTTCACTTTTTCGAGTTTTACATGTTTCTAGGCTAGTTTTTGGAGCTGAATTCGAATTTAGCAACCATTTGAACATTTACGAAGTAGTTTTGGTGCCTTCGTAACATGTTACGAAGCTGTCCGAGGCGGTTGACACGTATTACGAATACCCGTCACAACCCCTACCGGTTGACCTGACCTGACCTGACCCGACCTGGTCTAAATGCTTAAAGACACATCTCTGATCAAAACTAACACGATATTCGCGATCAGCACCCCGGAAAACCACATAGCAGCCACACTTTACGACTTTCTAACAGGTCCCGATTTTCCCGGTTTTCGGGTCATTGACCTGACCTGGAAGGTCACCCGATGACCTAGGACCTTAAAATTGGGTATCATCGGCTTCGTCTCGTGACGGGCAACACGCTCGTTTTTTCTGCGAAGCTCTAGCTCGATCAGGGGCCAAACGCGAGGGGGGGGGTCGTACCAACCCCCCCCCCTTGTGCCGTCGAAGGACTCAAAATGGCCTGTGCCGGCGAGGGTTAACTCGCCCCAGCAAAGAGATCACGTGCACGTGCACACGTGCCCATTACGCCACTGTGGAAGAAGGCTAAGCGGATTGAGGATAAATATGGTGGGATGATTGGGAATTATGACAGGATTAGTTTTGTAGTCGCATGAATGACGTAACAAGGGTGCGTTTGCATGTGCGCACGTGCGTTCTGCGTTTTGAATGGCTTAGAAGACTGCACACAAAATTGATAGGATTTAAACTATTTTAAGATATTAAGACGGCCACGAATGACGGCAGAGGAAAGGATTAGTTACGTCATAGATTAGTTCACTGATTGCTGATGGTATTTATCAGGTAATGAAATAGCACGATCCATAGCGTTTGTTTGCGATCCATTTCCTTGCATTTTATTTTGCCGTGCTCAAATTCAGTTAATCTAGTAAGCCTCTCTGACTTTCACCAAATCGCGCTGTGATGTATTTTGACTGCTCGTGATACGTAAACGTTTCCCTTGCTAGCAAAATTAAAGATATTCAATTATGCCGTAAACCATGTGTTTATTATTTTCAATTGATTGTAAACACTCTTAATCAGCACACCTTGGTGACAACGGGATACTACAATTAGTGAATGCATTGTGTCGCATGCGTGCATAAGCTTACCCCGCGCACTTATGGTCCGGGGAAGTAGTCGGATGGATATTGGATAATCCCCCCAGTTTTCCGCGAATAACTTGCATTTGAGCTGCCGAACGCGAGGAACCTTTCAGTACCATCGAAGCATGTAATTTCACACATACTCTGAAACCCTGACCAAGATATACCCTTTCAACTGTGACTTGCTTCTTAACCCTCGCATGTGTATGTAGGTGGGGGGGGGGGGGTCGGATCGACCCCCATGGTTTTTCGCGAATAACTTGCGCAAAAAGCGGCCGATCGCAACGAAACTTTCAGTACCCTCGAGTTGATCAATTTTACACCTGCTCTGAAAATTTCATGACCATGACCCAAGTGACCTTTGACCTGTGACCTATTGCTCGAGGCCATGTTTGGCCGGAATCGCGATTCGGCATATTTCGGCTCACATTAGCCGCGCGTTTGCAAGCGTCTCGTGGTTTCAAACGCTCAAACATGAGATTTAATGTTGCTCCCGTGCATTTGGGTGGATGTCAAGGTCACCTGAAGGTCAGGTCAGGTCATTGACCTTTGGTGACCTCGGTTCACTTTTTCGAGCTGCACATGTTTCTAGGCTAGTTTTTGGAGCTGAATTCGAATTTAGCAACCATTTGAACATTTACGAACTAGTTCTGGTGCCTTCGCAACATGTTGCGAAGCTGTCAGAGGCGGTTGACACGTACTACGAATACCCGTCACGACGCCTACTGGTTGACCTGACCTGACCTGACCCGACCTGGTCTAAATGCTTAAAGACATCTGTGATCAAAACTAACACGATATTCATGATCAGCACCCTGAAAAGCCCTTAGTAGCCACACTTTACAACTTTCTAACAGGTCCCGATTTTCCCGACTTTGGGTCATTGACCTGACCTGGAAGGTCAACCAATGACCTAGTACCTTAAAATTGGGTATCATCGGCTTCCTCTCGTCACGGGCAACACGCTCGTTTTTCTGCGAAGCTCTAGCTCGATCAGGGGCCAAACGGCAAGGGGGGGTCCAACCGACCCCTCCCCCTACACATTAGAAGCTGGCAAACGCCGCACACATGCGACGGTTAAGACCATTTCAGGCCGGCCTTGTGATTCGGCGTTTGTCGGCGCACATTTATATCCGCGTGACCAGACTTATGATAAAAGCGTGCCAAGATGTGAAATGATGTTTTGTCTCTGCATTAGGAATGCCGAATGGTGGGCGCTAAGGCCATTTAGGGGGTCAAAGTCATCAAGAAGTTTGGATCTTTTGTGACGTGTGAGATTTTTAGCTTTTTTCAATTTTCATTGCAGTTTTGGGAGATGCTTTCCTCTCTCCCCTCGGCCGGTCAGGTTAGAGAGAGCCTGATGACGGCTCGTAATAATCACCACCAAGCAGTATTCATACACTAAGAAGGGTGAGCACTTTTCTAGGGCTTCCCTTATAGGTCGGAAAAATAGATAATGAGAATGAAAAACACGGAAAAGAAGAAGCATGAAAGCAAAAATGCTTCTTCCTGATACAATTATCCTAAACGCTTCCCCTCCCCTCCTGCTTTGCACTATTCTAGGTATCGCTTGGTATTGTTCGTGACCAAGACTCCAATATTCAATCGGTGTCGTGTTTCCTGTCGGTGCTCTGTTGGTGTCCCTTCCGGCCCATCGCGTCGCCAGGGTCGGGTGCGTCGGTGCAGCGTTCTCCCCCGACCGAGCGCCGGCGGCGGGCGCAGTGCGACTGCCGCGGTCAACATTGCAGACAGCAGAACCCTGCAACGGACGCTGTCGGCCTCTGCCATCTGTCAGGAAAAAGGAAAAGTTGTAGTAAGCTGTGCACTCCGCAGTAGCGGTGCTGTGGCTGCCGGCATCGGTGCAGTGATGTGCAGGGGGAAATCTGACATGTCAAGAAAAACCTTCGTCATAGGCTAGGAATTTATATCAGCATCAGAATTCAGCACTATTTGCCAAAAGTATCAGTCATAGGAACAGAACGAGCGTTTGCGTTTTTCGTTTTTTTTGACTATGACATATACGGGTGCTCGATTTCTTTCATTTTTTTTTTGTGGTCTAGTGCGACTTCCCCGAACACACTGTGGAACAGACAATAGTGGAACATTACAATTTTAATAAATGCTGGCATAACATGTAGTACCTAGGCTTTTGGTATCTGGCACATTTGTTCTTGTCATTCCTTACGAGTTCATACTTATTCATATGTTGAGCATACAAGTATAATCGGGTAGAGGCAAAAGACAAATGCCTGCATAAATAAAAATGAATAAATAAAATATGTAAACAAATGAATAAAAGCAATTGAACAAATGTATAAATCAATCAACAAATAGATACATACATAATAAATACATCCATTTTTGGCATAGTGTTACCTCTTACCTAAGTCCTAATGTGTTTCGTTTAAAGATTTCATCAGTAGCAGGTGATGAGTGATTATCTTTGTGCATCGGACCGTCGCACAATCAGCAGTTATGCCATGCTATTCGCTCCTCAACTCTTCGCACTAACGCTCATCTCGCGGCTCGTCCCCGCCCCGCCTCGCCGAAACACTACGCTGCAGTATCCAGATGACGCGTGTTGCGGCACAGTCTACCATCCCGTGTACTGCGGCGCAGTCTACCATCCCGTGAGACGGCCTCTCGGCCAGCGTCAGCCCACAAACGCTATGGGATGCTCCCCTCACAGTCACAGTCTGAACTGCTGAGCTCCGAGCCCGCATTGAAGTTTTAACAGGAATCCTACAAGAATACAGAAAGCGCCTGAAATCCATGTTTGCCTTAGGAATGTCATGAGTGTGACTGGTGGTCGAATCGTATCTAACATTTTTTTGCGATCAGTTCTCACGTTCAAATATTAGAATAGGTACTTATCTTGATAGAAATTAAGCAAGGGATAAGTCAGGTTTAAACGAAAAAGACTGTGGCTTTAACTAGGTTTTGTTTAAAATACATTTTAAAAAGTCACATTTACCTCGAGATGTCTAATTCTTTACCCGCAAAAGTCATAACTGAGAAGCAAACTTCGGATGTATTATTGCACGAACAAACATGTAACGATGGGACAAACACATAATACAAAGTACAATACACGGTGAAACATACAAAAAGTACAAGGACAATCGATACAGATAAGAAAACGTATTGGTATCGGTGTATCACAAAGTATGTCAAAATACGCAGGTTACGCATAAGATATATGCATAATGTCCAAGAGGCATAAAGATGAGAGGAAAATGTTTAGGCTTCTATACGACTGACGTAGAGATAGATCGGCTCCTTTTTCTGCTGCCAGTTACATAAAACCCACACACGGGAACAGCCCCTCATAATACCTCATACCTACTCACAAAAGGCTGCGAGTTTGGCCTTCGCTTTGTCATCAGCAAAAGACTCTTCACTAGCACAGCTCGGCGCGAAATCACTTATTGCACATTTTTATCATTCTATCCGATGAACGCTTTCATGGTATTCGATATACACATATGACAATTTTAAATTAATCACTCTCGTCGTTTTGAACTTCATTGACATCAGCAACCATGGCATCTTCAACGGCTGCATCCTCGCCCTGGTCCATGTCTGTGGCATTTTCTTCTCCATTGCCAGATCCATCCTCTGAATCGCCGCTTCCGTCATCAGCATCGCCCTCCGCTGCGACGTCTTCCTCCGCTGCGTTGCCCTGCTCTTCATCAACATCATCGTCGTCGTCGTCATCATCGTCATCACCATCATCATCATTATCATCATCCTCATCCTCATCATCATCTTCGTCGTTGTCGTCGTCGTCGTCGTCACCATCATCATCAGCATTATCATCATCGACATCACCATCGTCCTCTTCATCGTCATCCTCATCATCATCGTCATCTTGGTCGTCATCGTCTTCCGTCATCGTCTGGTCGTCTTCGTCATCACCAGCATCATCCATCTCTTGAGCATCATCATCGTCATCGTCATTACTCATGCCGTCATCATCAGCTTCATCATCGTCGGTATTTTCAGCGTCTGAGTCGTCATCGTCATCATCACTGGCATCTTCGTCCTGATCATCGCTGACATCACCATCGCCGTTATCATCGCCGTCACTCTCTGCTTCCTCCTCGTCGTCGCCGTCTGTTTCGTTGTCGTCGCCGTCGTCATTATCATCGCCATCAGAATCGTTGTCATCATCAGCATCATCGTCGTCTTCATCATCATCATCATCGCCATCGTCACCATCATCACCATCATCGTCAGCCTCAGCATCATCAGCATCTTCTTCATCATCATCGACGTCATCGTCGTCATCGTCATCTTCATCATCATCATCATCCTCATCATCGTCATCGCCATCATCTTCGTCATCG